GAGAGAGAGAGAGAGAGAGAGAGAGAGAGAGAGAGAGAGAGAGAGAGAGACTGTCATCTAGTGAGTATAAACCATAGGGGAGGAAGGGGGGAGCGCTGCTAAACATCCTACAGTATACACGCCCCGCTCCAGTTATCCAGCCCCTGTCTGAAATGTCAGGAGTGCTAAAGATGAGAAACCCTGGTCTGCACAAATGTAAATATGCTTCTCAGATGGAGGAAGTGTGTCCCTGGCACCAGCATAGGATGTGATGGGGATGAGCTATGCCTAATATGCGACCTTTCATTGGTAGACAAATACAGAAGGAAGGGTGATAGGAAAGCAGACTTTCTAGGGGCGTAAGTGAGCCCAAATGGAGCTTCAGACTAACCCCTCAAGGTATACAGAAGGAGAAGGGCAGAGTTTTTCATTTGAAGTCAACTCTTACTTATTTAAAAGCGATTTCCTTAAGCACATAATTATATGTTTATTTCCCTAAGGAACTCTTGAGGCAGAGGAGACCTGCTTAAATTATGGGGAGGGCACTGCACACAGGGCTTTAATGGGGTTAGAAAAATCTTCTGTCTCCTTCAAAGGAGCCTTGGGAGGAAGGTAGGAGCTGATTCTGTTCTGGCAGTGCAGAGGGAGGACATGGGGAGGAGCAGGCAGTAGAAAGGGTGAGGACACATCACACAGACTAGGTTTTGGGTACTGGAGAGGAGACACGGCTCTTGGGCACAGCTTCAAGCACCCCCCACTCACTTCCTCCCCCATGGTTAAGCTCTGACAGCGAAAGAAAAGAGGCAAGGAAATGTACCTTTCACTCTTCCTGGGTATGCCCTCTTCATGAACATGTGCACATAGACATGCACACTCCCTTGGGTTGGCATCTGGTTGGCATCACTGGGCAGGCTCGGGAGTGGCAGGGTAGATGGAGCTTTTGGTGAGAGGAAGGTGAGGATTTCATATAGTGTCCCTCCCCTTCTCCCCCACACCTCTCCTTTGCTGCAGCCTGAATGCTTGGAATTTTTTAGTTTCTTCTCTTTGGCTGATCTATTCCGCTAGGTGGGCTAGACAGGATCCGAGGAAATAGTTCAGGAATGGATCCCTGAGATTAAAAAGGGAAATGATTCTGAATGAAGGCATCTTATATTTCTTATTTAAATAAGTCTTTTGTGTAAGGGTGAGCTGGATAATGTTGAGTTAGGGGCAGCAGAGACTGTGGAAAGATGTACTGGGGAGGTAATAGCATGGGCCTAGCTCTGTCTTTAATATGAGAGATGGAGGCTATAGGGGAATTCTTGACTATTCTGCCTGTGCCTGGAATAGAGTAGCCTTTAGCATCCATTATGTGTGAATGGACGGTCATTACCCATATTCTCCAGAAGGCTGGGCTCTTGGCACTAGGAATCATGGCTTACTTTGCTGAGTCAATTCTACCTCTAACAGCACCTAGTTCTAACAGGCACTCAGAATATCTCAGGATGAATTCTACCTTTTTTCAGTTCAGCCTCTTATGGTAGAAGATAGGGCAAGAATTCAGACTGACATTATGGAAAAGAGTCACTGGGCTCCCTGTATGACATTTATCTCACCTCTCAGAAAGTCCAAAATGTGGTGCTAATGGCAGGGTGGCGTCCAAAAGGGGCGAAGAGAAGATAACACCCGAGAAGCATGGCCAAGATTCACAGTCTCAGCATTATTTATTTCCTTACTTAATAGCTACTCTGTATGACCACCAAGACTCAGTTCCAGCATCCCTCGGTCTGAGGCTGGGGACAACATGGGTGCTGGAGGCAATAGATGAGCTGAGTGCATCTGAGGCTGGTGTGCAGCCCTGGAGAGAGAGAGCGAGCAAGAGAGGCAGAGACGGAGAGACAGACAGAGAGAGGGAGAGAGACAGACAGAGGGAGAGAGACAGACAGAGATCATCTGTGAGCATGACACCCAGGTCTTCTGTATCCTTAGAGGAACAGAAGTGACTCCGGTGGAGCAAATGAACCTATATAGGGGGTGATATTGACCACGGTACTCCTGATATGAGAGCGCAGAGCCCTGAGGCTGCTTAGAGCCTGGGTAGCCAGAGACATGGGTCTCTTTCACTGACCATTTCTCCAGAAATCATATCACATACAGTCAGGGAACAGTGTACCTTCAAGGAGACAAAGGGATGTGTTGCAGTCTGGGCCCATCCTTCTGTTTTCCAGAACTGTGACCTCAGACCTTTCTGAGATGTAGCCACCTCATTCAAAGAATAGAGATGGTTTTTGTCCTTTCCACAACACAAGGCTCCATGAAGCTGATGTATGGGGAGTGTTGTGTAAGCTATGCAGTAAAAATGAGTTCTTTTTGGTTATTAACTCATTTCCATAGGCTCTCAGCCATCCTGTCAATCAGGTGATGGCTTTAGGGAAAGACTACTTCTGTCCAATAGGAGCCAAAGGGAGCTGAGGGTTGTAATACTTTAGTCCAGTTCCCCTCCTTCCTGGCCACATTTTCCATAGGCAGCAGGTGTGTGTGCGCGCGCATGCTGCCGTGCCTTATTTTGTTCGCTGGTAGAACTGGAAGACGGCTTTCTCTTGTTCATACGTCTCAATGGATCCCGGTCGCAGGCGCCGAATCTCAGCAATGGCATCTCCCGCCGCCAAGCCCCGTTCCTTCACCAGGTAGCAGGCCAACATGGTGCCAGTGCGGCCAAAGCCCAGGGCACAGTGCACTCCGACGGCCTGTGAAGAGAAAACTGAGGGAGTAGAGCCCAGTGTCCTCCCCAACACTCCTCTGTCCCCACTGAAAGGGGGACAGATTTGTTCTTCCCACAAATCGTGGGTCCTCATGGGACAAGAAGAGACATCAAAGCTGCGGAGGACTGTCCTCGCAGACCTCTGAAGTGGCTGGTTCCAAGTTGGGGCGCCCAACCTGTATCTCCTGACCTCTCCCTCTGCGCTGTACTGTGCAGAACACCCAGCTACTTGTGGCGATATTTTTCCTGAAATGTGTCAGTCCAAACCGCAGATGCATGTAAAATACTTACCAGGCTCTAAAGATGCAGCATGAAAAAAAAAAAAAAAAAAAAAAAAAAAAAAAAAAAAAAAAAAAAAAAAGACTGGAAATGCCGCATTAATAATTTGCTTCATATTGATTCTATGTTGAAATCATATTTTTGACTTATTGGATTAGTAGCAAAATTAACTTCACCTACTTCTTTTTCATCTTTTTAAAAAAACATAGCTGCTAGTAAAAATTTAAAATTACAAAGTGCGCCTCTATGACATATGGACCTCTGGAAAATGGGTTTTGAACCTCTTCCATCAGGCTTCAGAGCTTCGCCTCCCCTCCCCCGAAGTATTTCTCTTGACAGTACTTTCCAGCCTACTTGGCATTCCCATCACCCCCAGCAGCAGAGTTGACTCTACTCAGTGGGTGGGTCTATCTAGCTCCAGCCCCATCCCAGGCCTTTCCTACTCCTTTCTGACTCCACCCTCCTGCCCCGGCCCCGCCCACTTATTTCTTTTTTCAGGCCCCGCCCTCTCGCTTTGGCTCAGGGACGCGCTGACCTCTCCCCGGGCATTGGCCTCGTCCACGATCTTCACAAATCGGTCAATCTGTTCTGGGGCCGGCGGGCAAAAGTCAGGGATGCGCAGCCGGTGCAGCGTGAGGCCGGGACAGCTGTCGCTGTGAGGGGGCCCGCGCTCGGTCAGGGACACCAGATGCCGCACGCCCAGGTCCAGCAGGAACTGGTAGTGAGCGGGTTGCCGCGGCAGCGCCAGCCCTGCCAGCCGTCCCGGGAGCACCCAGGAGAAGTTGGGGGGCTGCACGCCCATCGCTGGGGGTGGGCACCGGGTTGACGCTGGCCTTTCCTACTCCGCCCTTGTCGGCCCCCGGGGCTGGCTTCTGTCGCTGCTCAGCAATTGCCCTTAGGCGGCCACGTGGTCCCTCGGACCCGCCCCCATGACGCTCCTCTCCACCCAGGGTTGGCTGAACAGCGGGGGCAGGGCTGAGACGAGCAGAGTAGCCGTTCCGATCCCGGAACAGGACACTCGTTGATAGGTTGGATAATCAACAACCAGCGCGATTATTGCTGCCGGGAGCGAATACACTGAGGAACCCTGGAACGAATTAATTGCTCCTGGAGATAAAAACAGCCAAGGGCTGAGCTCTGCTGCTTCCTGGTGGTGTGTTGGGGTTACTGCATCCCGAGCCAGCAGCTCCTGTTTCGCCCAAGGGCCTGGTCTCTTCACAGTTTGTGCGCCAGGGTTTAAGTAGGAGACAAAGCTACTTCCGCCTAGGCTCGCGGGTGTGGGTGGGTAATATCTCGAAAGACCAAGCAATCATTGTTGGTGTTTTCTTGAGTTCTCCTAATGAGAGGGAACTACTATGTCCCAGTCATAGAAAATTTCATTTTCTTATTGCTGGGACTGCTAAAAAAAGGTGAGGGGCACTGTCGTGTGGAATTCTGACATGGTACTCAGGGAGATACAGTAATTACAATCAATAACATAAGCGTTAACAGTAACTGACTATTCGCTTTGTGCTAGCTACCTGTGCAAGCACTTTTTATATGTTAACTGTCACAAGATAGATGATCAAAGTAACCCCACTTTAGAGATGAGAAAACCGAGGCACCGAGGAAACAAAGGGAGATGTTCTCCAGAATCTTTTAACAGCACAGCACTTTCCTGTAGTCAAACAGGAAATGACATTCTTTTCATACAACCATCTTCACACCCTTTCAAACATCGTGTTTAAAGCCCTGGGTACTTAGAAGTCCTGGAATGCTTTAGGTTTGAGTAGAGGTTAAGAGATATGCATAATTGAGCATATGCTTTAGTCTCTTATACAGGGAGACAAGTCATCAGATCATGTGGAATCTCTCTGGAAGACAAGTTCCCAATCTAGCAGACACCCAGCCTTTTCCTTCCCCAGAATGGAGCTCCTGGGGAAATTGCAGTATCTTGGAATCCGTTGCTTTGGCAACTGGACAGCCCAAGGGAGGGTACACTTAACGTGTCTCTGAAACACCTTCATTCCTGCCTACGACACCTGTTTTCCCCTACCCCTAATACACAAAGTTATCCCTTGGCTTTGGCAAAATGTGAGCATTTCTCCCTTCCCTAGGTGGAAAGCACCTGTACACAGACAGCTGTCCTCCCAGGATGAAGGACTTCCTGGCTCATACAGCTCTCCACCTGCTTAGATGCTCAGCTCATTCCTTTTCCTCCTGAGTTGTGTAGCCCAGAGCCACAGTCACTCCCTCAGTTTCTCTCAGTTGGGGTTCTCAGGGTATCTGGCTGTGCTGTCTCTGTCTCCAGAAGCAACACTTCCAGGAACTGTCCTTTTGAGTAGATCACTCTCAGGCCCTCTGCCTTCCTGCTCGCTCACTCCTTCCACTTGTCAGGGAAGAACTTCCCACGAGTCTCCTTGTTCTTCTTTGCCCATCCTTCAGCTCCTTGCTATCTAGCTTCAAGCCTGTCCTCTTCAGTGAAAAAACAGTTTTTGGGGAGACAGATTCTCCTCTGTCTTGAGCCCCTGAACGGACAGCAGTATGCCCTCTGGCCTGTGGGTCTCTGCCAGGCTAACCGAACATTCATCCTCCCCACCCAAGGTTGCCCATGGAAAGCCTGGCTCCCTAAAAAGACTTCCTGTCCCTCTTCTGCTCATCTGTCTCCTACGGAGGGAAGGGTTCCGGGTCCGTGTCTTGAGCCATGTCCCGTTGCCAGGGCTCTCAATTAATTGTCTGTGTCAGCTGAGGGTTTCTGTAAGAAAAGCCTTTGCTAGAGTTCTGACTAGGTGTCCTCCTACCAGGTCAGCCCCTCACACCATACCGATGGGGTCGTTCTTCTCTGTTTAGGGTTATCTGAGCCTCACGAGCGTTTAGGCTCTGCGTACTCTTATCTCCAACTGTGGAAATTTTGTTGAACCAGAGTTTCCTGTTTTCATTGGAACCAAGACCGACTTGTTGAATCTTTCATTTTAATTGGAGCCTGAACATGGTATTTAAAAATGTTAAGGAAATGGTTGGAAAAAAAAATAAACAGAATGCATTGGCAAGACATACACCAAGACACTGTGAGTCGCCAGGGTGTTTGTAGATTCTTTAATTGCATGGGGACTGTGTTGAATATTATGTATGACTTCTTTCAGAACTTCGTTTTTATTCCAGTATAATCCACACACTGAAACATGAATATACACTTCAGCGAATTTTTACACGTGTGTATACTCACACAACAACCAATTAAGGTAGATAAAGAACGTTTTTTTTTTCCATACTAATTTGACTATTTATTTCTTGGGTTTATGCTTTTATCTTTGAAAGGCTTAAAAAAATTTTTTAAGAACTTTTCAAAAACAGTTGCATCCAGAATATTGCGATCATATTTACCCCGCCGTTACCCTCTCATCTCCTTTTTGCAGACCCCCTTTCTCTGTCTCTCCCTTTACGTGAATCTCCTTCTAATCACTAGTTTTGCAAAAGGGGCAGGTTTCGCAAAAGGGGCAGGTTTCTTGGTTTTTATTGAGCATGGGCCCTACTGCTCACACTTGTATTTGTTGTATGTGTATGTGGGCATGTTTGTGCTGATGAACATGTTTTTGGGGAGCAATAAGGTTTAGTAATTTCCTCGACTTTAAGGAATTTATGACATACTTGGGGGGATTTAGACACAGATATAATTATTCCCAGAATATGTAATAAAGTACTAAACTGCTCATCAAAGCAATTGTCATTATCTGACAATCAGATAATATAGAGTCAAAAGCTAATTGTGTAATAAAAATAACAAGCATGAAAGAAGTCGGCGTGGGAGAGGGAGGCTTGGCTTGCAACCGCTAAGTTTCCAAAGACAGGCTCTTCCTTTCCCATTTTGTCCTTGGTCCATTCATAAGCTCAATGGGATAGTTTTAGCACGTCTTAACTGCCTTTCCTCCTGTCAATAATAATCTTTTGAATTAATTCATGTGTGTGTGTATGTGTGTGTGTAGACCTGTTCTAGTTACTTTTCTATCACTATAATAAGACATCATGACCAAGACAACTTATAAAATAAAACATTTAATTCGTTGGTTCCCGAGGGTCAGAGTTCATGGTGGGGAGTATGGCAAAAGGCAGGTGGACATGTAGGCATGTCACTGAAAGCTTACATCTCACTCCACAAGCATGAGACAGACAGACAGACAGACACACACACACACACACACACACACACACACACACACATGCGCGTGCGCGCACACACACTGGCAGACTGGGAGACATTGGCAATGGATAGCAGGGGCTTTTCAAACCTCAAAGCCTTTCCTCCTCCAACGGGGCCGCACACCCTAAATCTTCCCACACATTTTCACCAGCTGGGGACCAAGTATTCAAACATGAGCCTAGGGGGCCATTCTCTCTGAAACCACCAGAAGGCCCTAGTTTACTGACTGACAGGAGGTGAAGGTGAAGACACACTTGCTTCCTCCAGCTAGGTCCCTGTGTCCCATCAATGCGGAGGGTCACTTGAACTACAAACAGTCTTTCTGTGTCTGAAATGTTCTGAGTTTCCTATGTGTTAACAAGCTTATACTAGGACTCAAAGATCTTGAAATTGAACCTATGATAAAGAGGCTGTCTGGAAGGCAGCCCCCCCCCCCCCCAAGATGACTTCAACGGGCATCTCCTGTCTTGGTAGTTTATTTTTTCTATAATGTTAGTGCCAGTTTCGGTAGCCAGTAGGTTGCTGCTGAAATGGTAGTATGTAACTTCCTAAGTTTGGTCACAGAAAACTTAACTTTTTCCTTATTCTTCCTTAGGAGTGAGATTTGTCATGGGAAATGTTGTGCAAAGGCCAGCTGCCATGTCATAAGGGTGTGGGGGATCTCTGTGGAGAGGACCAGAAGCTGATGAGTTAACTATTGAAGAAGTGGAACTCCCTACCCCCCACCCCAGTCAAGATTTTAGATGGCTTGTACAACATCTCACAGACTTCGGAGGTTTCCTTACACACAGACGCTGTTAATTAGTACTTACGGTGTAACTAACCAAAATTTGGGGGAATTCATTGTGTAGCAATAGGAAAGTAGTGTAGATAAAAGTATTATTTGAAGGAGAGAAGAAAATGAATTTCCAATAAACACAAGAATGAAAAACGAAAGGGAAAGCTCCACTAAAAATGACTGTGTTAGGAGTGGGTTTTGTGAGAGGCTAATGAAAAATTTTCATGTCTGGAGAACTACCAACTAGTGTAGTTTGGGTAAAGTGTGTGTGTGTGTGTGTGTGTGTGTGTGTGTGTGTGTGTGTGTGTGCGCGCGCACACACATGTGTGGTGTTGGAGGTAAAGGTATATACAGTATGTGGACAGCTAGGGCTGACATATACATTCCTTTGCCACTCGCCACGTACAGGATGTGAAAAATCACAACACACTTGCTTCTAACCAGACACATTCCCTGTAAACTAAAGGTGATGTTGCCCTGAAACCTACTGGCTGTGTGTCGGCTGAGGGTGTCTGAAATGGTTTGGGTGTGGCCAGATCACCTTGGACATTTTAATACAGGTCTTTCCACCAGATGGCACTGATAGCTTTTTCTTGTTTCTCTCTCTCTCTTTGTCTTGTTGAGAATGTGTGACTGGTACACTTCTGCAGAACGTTCCCCAGCTGAAATCCCACAATTTGCTAGCCGATTCCTTGTATTTTTTGCATTTAAGATGCTTATAATTACATTTTCTTTTTAGATCATTCCAAGAGCTTTAAGTTGGGATGTCGGGGAATACCTCTTTTTTATCAGATGTTATTGTACAAGTTGGAGATAGGGAAGTAGATGGGAGGGACAGGTCTTAATGCTTGTAAAGCTATTCAAAAAGGCAGGTAAGGGCAAAATCAAGAGGGAATACCCAGGTAAGAGGGAACACCAGATGGTCTTGGTAGGT